ACGTTGTTAACGAGAGACTTGTGGACTATAAATCCGATACCTCCATGGGACAGATGGGCGCCCTCACGGTGATAGACAAGTGACTCTTCTCTTCGGAGTTTATCTGAATGATCCTATAAAAGCCCAGCGCAACTTGTCTATCTCTTCTTCCAGCAATAGGATCTTCTCGTCAGTCCTCATGGTGCGTGCCTTATATGTTGCCAGGTCGAGTTGTCTTAGGTGGCAGCCGAACCTCCATTGGAGTTTCTTAGTCCCGCTGTTACCATGGTCGCCACCGTACCCAGGAATAGTGGAGCCATAGGGGACTAGGGGCCGTTTATTTGTGTCGTTGCTAATAGGGGGTATATTGCCATAGTTGCTACGCTTGGCAAGCGGATTGGTAACCGCAGTTTTTATTGCTTTTTGCTGTTATCGGAAAGATGCTGCTGCCCATCTTTTGCCTCAGTTTCCCTCTGTCGCCACTTACGACACCCACGAGAAGATGTTGGATGACTGATGGAATACCCACAATTTGAAGTCCTAGACTGGGATCGAACACGTGACCCACGGTTAAGTGGTCATCTTAGAATTGCGCATACTCCAATATTGAAATTGACGTAAAGGAAAATATGCAAACTTTTTGTTAAAAGCAAACGCACTTCCCACGTTAACCTATATAACCTGCTGAATATCGGACATGTTTACAGCGTACAGCAGACTTGCAGCAGTAGAACTTTGGTGGGATTAAACCGGTGGGAATAACTGCGTTATGTGTCTTTATTGCCATTGAAACTGTAACCTAAAATATGCGGTGGAGTGGTGACGTAAATCATTATCCTATGGATGTTGTAATTGTTAGAGACTACAGAGGAAAATAAATGGGAGGAGGTCTGACTTGGTCTAAGTAGTGTGATATGGCTTTATTTAATCCGTGGTTAGGGCTGAATCTGAACGACAAAAACACAACTGTGTGACACAGATTAAGAAAGGAATGCTTTTTATGTTGCAGGAGGGAACGGCAGAGGCAGAGTCGGGAAGGGACGCCCTTGGCGGAAGTTTACCGACCAAGCTGGTGATATATTAAAGATAGTCCAGATTATTATCCTTAATCGACGAGTAACTACCTCGTTATTCTAGTGGTCGTAAACACAGTTGCTGATCATAAGGTCCCGGTTCGACTCCCGGGTCGGGCCAAAATCAATTATTGGATCTTTCTGTCTAGAAATTCTCAGTAGCAGCCCTGAGTTAAATAGTTGGCGGTGTTTCACCCCCGTGCCGCGGAAAGCACGTAAAGCCGTTGCTCCTGCGTCTGATCTTTCTCCGGTCGTATCGGATTAGGTTATATTTGGGCACTATAATCGCTTCCTGCGCAGTCGGCTAATTTCCGTTAAGAGAAATTCGGTCTGGAGCACATTATAAATTAAATACTAATCAACCAGCATGTATGCGTAGGTACCTATCTATATAGATGTAAAGGAGGCGAGAAAGGTATTAAGATCGTGACAAATGAAAGTCCGTAGTCTCTGCCTAGCCCCTAGGTGACAGGCGTGGGTGCTTATGTTACTTCTCAATTATTTCTCGTACGCGGTAGATGTCGACAACGTTCGTACAGAGCGGCAGCGTTGGACCAAATGTTGATGATGTGTACTTGGTGCAACCATGCTGCAGCTATATAATAGTTCTAACTTGTAGCACGAATGGGTCGGCGCGATCGATCAAATCCATCACTCTCATGGGATACCAGCGTAATAGCAGCTTAATGCTGCTGTTTCGTATGGTGAGTGTTTTCGTGGCGTTTTCGCATCAATAATTCCCCTTTTGCACTTTTAATTAGAAATGAGTTTTGATTCTGATGATGAATCTTATACAAATTTGATAGCGGTTTGTTTGTATATTAAAAGAAAAAATGGTGTAAAAACTGGCTGTTGAAAAGAACAAGCTGAGCACATACGGATCTACTTTTTTATTTATTTAAAGAACCATAAACAAGTTTACAATATATCTTATGCTAAAGCTTATGTTCTTACAATTTTATATGAGCACATAGAGTATAAAAAATAAGATAATTATGTGATGGACCTAATTTTGTAAAAGTACCTTAATTTCTAAAATATTATTTTAACAAACTAATGAACGAATTGACTTTAGAAATATTTTAATGAATTCAATTACGAACTCTCGGTTTGTAGTCATGGTTACAGCGCGGATGTTTCAACAGTTCAAAGCGAGTCGAACAGCTCGGCGCGAAGACATGGCGCGCCGTACCGTTGCTTCTTACACTAACGAGCATGCCCTACCGCCCAGGCGCGGCGCGATGGAGTTTAGATCGCTTGGAATCTCATTTTGGCGTGCCAGTCATATTGGACTGCATGGATATTGACATTCACGAGCACTTTATAGAGTGACAGCGAGCCTTATGGAACGTTGACGCGTCCCTGAATGCCCAGCTTCACCATCAGGTGGAGTGTTCTTATTTGTCACCTTCACATAACACAGTAGGATACGTGGTAGTTTTACGTGGTAGAGCCATGCTGCAGTTATATTAGTAGTATAGTTGTAGCACGAATGGGTCGGCTCGACCGGGGAAGGACCACGCTCTCACAGAATACCAGCGTGAAATAGTAGCTTAATGCTGCTGTATTTCGTATGCTGAGTGTAGAGAACCGGAGACCCTTTTTACTGGAAACGAGGCATTCCATCTCAGTCCTCACGGGTGACAACGCATCTGCATTTTAATTCGTAATCGAGGATAGATGTAGATGTCTATGGGCCACAGCAACCACTTACCATCAGGTGGACTGTGTGCTCGTTTGTTACCCTATTCTATAAAAAAAAAAAAACATGCTGCCACTTCACGCTGCTATTCTGTATGGACGTCGTCCTTCCCTGTTGAGCCGAACCACTTGTATCAAAGCCATCCGCTACACCACAGCGTAGCTCTAAAACGTCAAACGTTTTGCTCTTTATAACATAACAATTTATTAAAGAAGTGTTAACATTTTTACAGGTTTTTTGAAATAAAACTCCAAAATTTATGAGAAAAATTATATTAACTGCTACAAAGTATCAACACGTATTACTATAATATAATCGCGACTGATGTCACACATTTCTCTATCTCATTCATTCAAAACTCCAGCATTCCTCTCCCTCGCTCGCACACATACAAGAACATCACGTTATAATTTACATTGCTTCGTATAAATTATTTAGTCACAGTACTGAGGCAACTATAAAGTACAAAACGACCTTATAAATAAAATTAACGTTGAGACTCGTTCACACAAGGGTACAACGGCGACTCTCGTGTGAAAGTACTCTAACCGTCCAGTAATATAAATGTATATAAAAGTTTCTAATATAAAGTAAATGTACACAAAGATCTTTTTCTTACAACGAATATAATCGGGGACAAAAGTAGGAAAGGTTCCTGTTTAAAAGGAAACCAAACATTGTTATAATATATATTGGATAGCAGACACCTATTGTTACAAATGTGTTTTTTTATTTATTTATTGTGGAATTGGCTACCAGCCCTACGACCAAAAAGAATACATCAAAGGCTGCAATACGATTTGAAAGTATGTTAAATATTATTACCCCCGCAATACATGTATGCGTCACATTGTAGTTTTTGAGAAATTTTGACGGTCGCTAAAGTCAGCAGACAGACGTATATGATGAGGTACCTATCCGAATAACCCAAGCAGACAAACTTATGTTGATATCACTATCGAAGCACTTGTTTAAACGCCGGCGTTTAAGTTTCCGCCAAAACTCTCTAAAATTATTGGGTCACATTTAAATTTACTGTTCATATTGTTTCAAAATTAGGTACTTAGGTTTAAAATGTTATATTGATTAAGATTTTAATGACTGAAGATTAAACAAATTCCACAGTTCCGTTTTTGTTTTTAAAACGAATACTGGCAGTGCACAATAAAAATGCTGGTGAGGAGTGGGTTTTATGACAGCAGTAGAATTTTTTTTCTATAGAATATCAAGTCCATAAGCCACAACATCCACTTACCTGGTGTAAGAGGATGCTGTAGCCAAGGGGCATTTCATTTGCATCAACTAGAGGCATGCCATTTGCCATCTCACTCACAAATTGACTTCAGCACCGGCCGCACCGGGTCGACTTTGTGGTCAGCGGTCAGTCTGCCATAGTTACATAAAAAGTGAAGTTCTAACATTATATTATTTACAATATTCAACATTATGGCTTATAGGAAGTTTTTAAGTTTAATTCAGAACTCATGTAAACTTGTAAGTTCGATTTTACACCCGGGTAGTGATGATGTAGGGTATTCCATCACCAAATCTCATCACTTAAGTGTTGTAACAATTGGTAAAGGAAAAATGGCAAAAAATGGATTTACTGAATAGTTTTCTGTGCCGTATGTTTCAATGTAATAATTACTTCTCTATTACAATCAGCATCGGTTGAGCGCAATCTATTTTGAACCTTAATGCCATCACACAAAGTATAATACAGTTTAAACTGAGCGTTTCCTTCCTTCTATTACCGGACGAAAGTTTAAGATATTTTAATACTATATTAAATTGGGATAATTTCTTGATTTAAAACAACATTGCTTTAATTAATTATAATTTTTGCTACATTTTAAAAACATTAGGTAAGTAAACGATTAACAAGTGAATCAGTTATGCAAAGGAAATTCAACTTTATTTATTCTAATTGGTAGGAATATTTTGCGACATTGCTCTATCAATCAGCAAAATAAGTATCAAGTTTTTATTGAAATCATATCCATTGTAGCATTTAACAAAAGGAATTTTAAATCCTATATTGACCCGTAATTAGATATACGATTCCTTGAATTTTAATTCAAACGAATATCCTCTTACGTGTCGTAGAGACGGCCGTATACGTACTTAGTACTTAGAGTAGATAATTGCGTTCACTTGTGTCCATTAACATAATGTATTTTGCTCAGCGGTCTGCATTGCGTATAAAAATCGACCGTATTGTCTGTGTGGTAGAGTTGAATATGCGTTCACTTGTGCAGGCCGGCCCGCTTGGCCTCCAGCTCGTATATGAGCAGGCGCCACATCTTCACCACGAACACTTCCGCTTCGTCGTCCAGCACCTGCCAACAAATATTGAGTTAGTACCACCAAAAACCTAACGGAACTTTTTAGTGCGTGGTTATTGCGCGTAGTGTAAAGTCGCGTATCGATTATACGTTCCAATAGGTCGAGCATTGGCGCGCGTTCCAGCCGCCTGAAATGGATACCGCCTTGGAACGCGCACCAAATCGTTTGTTGGAACCGTTGTTGGAACCAAATGTTGCGTTTTGCGTATTGTATATGAAATGAAAACTCTATTTTTCGACGTAAGAAATTCAAATTAGGTTTCTCAAATGTAAACAAGCTTATGTATAAATTGTCGACTTCAGAAGAAGGAACAAAATCTCAATTTAACTGTATAGTTTTTGTATGTACGAGTGTATGTTACAAGATATTTTTGCCAAGTGTGAACCGATTGTAATGATTCTTTTGTTATTAACTTGGAGTGGGCCGTTCCATCTGTGTGTCGGTTTTTTCGAAGTAGTTAAGTTTTGGCGCGCGCCGGTTGTGACGGGTGATTTCATCATTCGTGTGTTCGTTGTGTTCGGAGCTGTGGATAACCAAAGTTTCCGTGAATTGATATCTATTTTCGATTAAGAATCAAAATACAGTTGCGTCGACACACCTAAAGACTAAGATGGCCTCGTTTCCAGTAAAAAGGGTCTCCGGTTCTCTACACTCACCCGTACGGTGGTAACAGCAGCATTACGCTGTGAGAGTTTTTCTGTGAGACGCATTATTCTATAAGAGCGTGGTGCTGTCCCGGTCGAGCCGACCCGTTCGTGATACAAACATAATGTAGCTGCAGCGGGTTCTACCAATATTTTAAAATGACGTCCATGTTGAACGGTCAAACACTGGGGAAGCTGCCGTAATTATTATACATGAAATATTTGGAACGCATTCCGCTCAAAGCATAGTATAGTGAATGTATTGCAGTGTGTAGTGTACAGCGCACCATCTGCACGTCGTCCAGGATGCCGGCGGGCGCGGAGCCGGCCAGCACCTTGCTGCAGATGAAGTCCACCAGCGTGGGCTCCGGCTCGCCGATGTACTCGATGATCTTCTTGTTGATCCACGGCCGGATCTTCTTCTCCATCAGCGTGTTGTCGATCTGTCAAAGCGTATTCCAGTCAAACAGCTGTACCCTAGTACAGTCGAACTACAAGACGAATTCAAAACATTTTTATACGTCACCGCATCTACATATCGACATACAGGTAGACCGTGTATTCTTCCGTTCTTTTGTTAACCTTTCTTATATGAATAATTATTGGCGAGTATTCTGAGACAATGTCAAGTTCTAAAATTAACATAAGGTGAGCAGTATCTTAGCCGTTTAGGGGCGGTTAAGAACATTCACTACCCCATATCTTCCAGTGGGTGTCGTAAGAGGCGACAGAGGGAGACAGGCAGGAGATGGGCAGCAGCATCTTCCTGATAACAGCAACTGTACGACAAAAAAAACTGCGGTTGCCAACCCGCTCGCCAAGCGTGGCAACTATGGCAATATACCCCCCATGAACAATTACACAAATAGACGGCCCCCAGTCCCCGGCGGCCCCGCTATTCCTGGCTACGGTGGCGACCATGGTAACGGCGGGGCAGGGGGTGCAAAGAATCTCCGGTGGAGGTTCGGTTGCCACCTACGACGACTCGACTGGCAACATTTAACGCACGCACCCTGAGGACTGACGAGAAGATCCTGAAGCTGGAAGAAGAGACAGACAAGTTGCGCTGGAATATTATAGGATTATCCGAGGTCCGAAGAGAGGGGAAGGACACGGTGATTCTCGAATCCGGCAACTTGTTCTATCACCGGGAGGGCGACCATCTGTCCCAAGGAGGTGTCGGATTTATCGTCCACAAGTCTCTCGTCAACAACGTTGTAAAGATTGGGAGTGTGTTGACGAGGGTCGCGTACCTGATACTCAGAATCACCAAACGGTATTCGCTGAAGGTCATACAGGTTTACGCACCAACCTCGGCACATCCCGATGAGGAGGTGGAGGAAATGTATGAGGATATTTCCAAAGCCATGCATTCCTCCAAAACCCACTACACGGTGTTGATGGGAGACTTCAACGCAAAACTAGGCACAAGAGAAAACGGTGAGCTGAAGTTAGGGAAATTTGGAGTAGAGCAAAGGAACCGAAGGGGCCAGCAGCTGACCGATTTTATGAGAAAGAGGGACTCTTTATGATGAACTCTTTCTTCCAGAAGCGGCCCCACAGGAAGTGGACCTGGTCGAGCCCCGACGGTTCGACAAAAAATGAGATTGACTTCATTATGACGACCAGACGCCAACTGTTCAGTGATGTCTCAGTAATCGCAAGGGTGAAAACCAGCAGCGATCACCGAATGGTTAGAGGCACACTGAACCTAAACGTTAAGCTGGAGAGGTCTCGTCTAATGAAGTCAACGCTCCGTCCCCCTCGTGCTCTAATCCAGAATCCCGAAAACTTTCAGCTCGAGTTACGTAACCGCTTTTTGCCTAGAAGACTGCAATGCAGTGGACGATATGAATGACAAGCTCGTGGAAACTGTCCATGCGGTCGGAGCTAAGTTCTGCAAGACCCGCCGCAGAAGAACACAAAAACTCTCCGATCACACTCTTAATCTCATGGCTGTTAGACGGGAGATGAGGCTGTAATCGTCAACAGATTTGACAGCATACAGGCAACTGAACAGACAGATCTCCAAATGCATGCGGTGAGACTTACGCAACTTTAATACTACTCGTATTACAGAAGCGATCGAGCGGAACCAGGGCTCCAAAGTCTTTGCCAGAGATCTGTCTGCCAGTAAGAGCCAACTGTCAAAGCTGAAGACTGAGTGTGGCAGCATCGTTTCCGGGAGACCTGAGATTTTGAGTGAGATTGAGAGGTTCTATGGGTAGCTGTACACATCATCGTTGTATCGTCATCGAGTAACTATCCAAGAGCAAGTCTTATCCGACACTATTCCGATGATATCCCGGACGTCAGTCTAAGCGAGATTAGAATGGCTCTTCAGCACCTTAAAAACGGCAGGGCCCCCGGCGAGGATGGAAGTACAGCGGAGCTTCTGAAAGCGAGTGGAACACCGGTACTTGAAGTCCTTCAGAAGCTCTTCAATTCCGTCCTCCATGGTGGCACTACTCCAGAGGCTTGGAGCAGAAGTGCGGTGGTCTTGTTCTTTAAGAAAGGCGACAACGCTCTCTTGAAGAACTACAGACCGATTTCCCTTCTGAGTCGCGTCTACGTGCTGTTTTCGTGAGTCATGACGAATCGTCTCGCACGTAGACTCGACGACTTCCAGCCTCCCGAACAAGCCGGTTTCCGAAAAGGCTTCAGTACCATAGACCACATACATACCCTGCGGCAGATTGTACAGAAGACCGAAGAGTACAATCTGCCACTTTGCCTGGCGTATGTGGACTATGAGAAAGCCTTTGATTCCGTCAAAATTTGGGCTGTGCTACAGTCCCTTCAGCGGTGCCAAGTTGACTGTCGGTATATCGAAGTGCTGAAGTGTTTGTACAGTAGGGCTACGATGGCTATCCGAGTACAGAACCAGAGTTAGAAGCGTATCCAACTGCAGAGAGGTGTAAGACAGAGTGACGTTATTTCCCCGAAACTATACACCGCTGCATTGGAAGACGTTTTTAAGCTACTGGACTGGAAAGGATACGGTATTAACATCAATGGCGAGTACAACACTCACCTTCGATTTGCCGACGATATAGTCCTTATGGCAGAATCGCTGGAGGACTTAAGCATTATGATCAATGACCTCAATAGTGCCTTCCAACGGATAGGTCTTGAGATGAACATGGACAAAACAAAGATTATGTTTAATGTCCATGTCACACCTATGCCGGTAGTTGTTGGGAGCACTATGCTCGAAGTTGTTGACGAGTATGTTTACCTGGGACAAATAGTTCGACTATTTAAGTCCAACTTCGACCGAGAGGTCAATCGACGGATTCAACTCGGCTGGGCAGCGTTCGGGAAATTACGCCATATCTTCTCGTCAGGTATACCTCAATCTCTAAAAACTAGATTGTACAACCAGTGCGTGTTGCCAGTGATGACTTACGGATCTGAGACGTGGTCCTTCACTGCTGGCCGTATGAGGACGCTCAAGGTCGCTCAGCGAGCTATGGAGAGGGCTATGCTCGGAGTTTCTCTGCGTGACAAACTCAGAAATGAGGACATCCACAGTAAAACTAGAGTGACCGACATAGCCCAACGGATTAGTAAGCTGAAGTGGCAATGGGCCGGGCATATAGCTCGAAGAACCGATAACCGATGGGGAAGAAAGGTTCTCGAGTGGCAGCCTCGTACCGGTAGGCGTAGTGTAGGGCGACCCCCCACTAGATGGAGTGACGACCTGGTAAGATATGCAGGAAGTCGATGGATGCAGGTGGCTCAGGACCGTGCTTTGTGGCATTACTTTGAGGAGGCCTATGTTCAGCAGTGGACTTGTGAAGGGCTGTAATGATGATGATGATGATGAGCAGTGTCTTTTATGTCATTATCAAATATTCTTTTATGCCATTATGTATATATCAAATGTCATTGTGAATTTCAAGGTTAAGCTCGAGATTGCCTAAATACCAGCCTTTAATATCACGTTGAATCTTGTCGCGTCTTACAATTTCTTTCTAGTAGTCATTAGTTGTCATCGTTGTCGAAAGCTTTCACGTAGATAACAAAAGAGAAGGGGTTCTTTTAATTTAATGAAGGGTTAGGTGCTAGAAGGCAGGGTTGTCCAAACCAAGACACGCAGGTAATTTTAGGTTTGCAAATCAATTGATTTTTCTCTGTAATATTCACGTTAAAATTGATAAAGTTATGAGTGTTATGAACTAATAAATAAATAATTGATAGAACCAGGCGTTACTTCGCGGAATTCCATTATAATAAAGATATTAAGTTACTTTGCAACCATCCGCTGAATAAAATCAAATGATGTGCCTTACCTAGCAGCACCTCCCGTAATTGCAAGCACTAATCCCGACACCACTAAACACGTGTCGTATTATCGTCAATGGTGTGTCTTTCCTGGAATATTGGTGATGGGAAAAGTGGTGATAGGAGTAGTGGTGCTGGGATTAGTGGTGACGGGATTAGTGCACGCAATTGCGGGAGGTGCTCTTCAAATTAGGTAAGACACATCATTTGATTTTATTCAGCGGATGGTTGCAAAGAAACTATTAATATCTTTATAATAAATAGCTATCTAATTGGTGGTTTCATTGTCCAAGAAATCCATGTAATGAGGGCTAACACTATACTGCTCACCAGGTGTCGCTAGTTAGTAGTGAAGTGGAATTCTTTGTTGCGTTTCAAACTAAACTTTTTCGGTTCTTGGCTTCAATCAATAATATGTGGCAGTAGATTCCCGATAAGCGCCTAAAAACCGGCCCGAAAAATAAGAACACAAATACTCTATCATTAAGTGCTTTTCATAAAATAAAACAGAATTAAATAGTAAATATAATTCAATCAGTTAATATTATGAATGTTCGACCGATGTTTGCTACAACGCACAACTAGTGTAACAAACATTGAAATGTACTACCAAGAATAAAATACAGTAGACACGAAATTGTAAACATAATATTTGCAACCACTTAGATGTTAAGTTTTATGTTACAATAAATACTTTTATACTTATGATATTTAATTTTCAAGCAGCACCTGTCTGTGATGACAGGATTTAAATAAACATATTTTGCAATGGTATTTAAATTTTATGTTTGAGTGATAAGGTTTATAATATACTGAACTTGTTGATATTATTAATATTTTTTTCTACACTTCATAGTAAGGAATATAGACTTTTACGTGTATAGCTAATACTATTATTGATCGAACGTTCTTAGTGTATATACCTATATACAAAAAACAATGTCTCAGCGTTGCACTTTAATTTTTCGTACATTTTAACTATCTTTTTATTCTTCATTTTTAGTAATATCCGCAGTTTGGCTGATTCATTTTTAATTTAATTTTTATAAGATATAGCTAATATTTTCGAAAAAAACATTAAACCTTATAATGTCCTAAGAATTTAAGTTCCCCTCTACGGAATTTGTGAAATATTTCACCTCATTCCAAAGTGTCGCCGGTCTAGTGGCTGTAGTGCTAGCTGTGTAGCGTGGCGTTCAGATTGTCAAGTACGTGATATTTTGAACATTCTCAAACCAACAAATAGTGGACATAATCTCTACGACTAATATCCTGAGAGAAATAAAAGCCTCACGATAGCGCTGGCTTGGCCGTATCAGACGAATGGAAAACGAAAGGACGGTAAAGAAGGGCGATTTTTTTGGCGACTAAGATGGAATGCTTCGTTTCCAGTAAAAAGGTGTCTCCGGTTCTTTACACTCACCATAGGAAACGCAGCAGATGAGCGTGGCCCCTCCCCGGTCGAGCCGACCTACTCGTGCTACGACAACAACAGCTGCAGCGTGGCCCCACCACGTCGTAATACGATGGTGTGTAAAGAGCTACCTGCGATGTGTCCAGCTTGTACTGGAAGAGCTGATCCTTCTGCGTTGGGATTTTGTCGATCAAACTCTTTATGTGTTTGCGCTTCTCTTCCGCAGATTTGTTCTCCTTCTCTTTTTCTTTGTCTTTCTCCGGGTCTCCGCTGTCGCCCTTTTTGCTTTTATCTGTTGACAATAGAAAAACTTTCATTTACAACACATGCGTAATAATTTTAGAGTAAAAATTATAAGCACTAATATGACAGAATTCTTTTCTATAAATGTTTTGTTATAAATTGATTATTAATAGTATAACACTTAGTTATTTCGTAACGAGCAGTGGCGGCGGGTGTCATGCGACAGAGGGAAACTGACACAGGAGATGGTCAGCATCAAAACAACTCTAAATAATGGATACTGCGGTTGCCAACGCGCCTGCCAAGCGTGGCAGTTATGGCTAAACCCGGAGGGCCCCCCCCCCCGCCCCGCTGAGGCGATCTATGGGGAGGCCTGTGTTCAGCAGTGGACTATTATAAGCTGTGGACGGTCGTAGTTAATAAAAAAATGTATACATTAAAATAAGCATTGAATCACACAGAGGGCTGTATTGTTCCGTTCACCAGATGTCGCTAGGTGGGATTGAGGTTAAGACATTTGTTACACAATTACACTTTAATTGAAAATTGCGTTTTAGATGAAAGTATATTTCCAGATTATGTAAATACACAAAACAATGCCTGAGCGATTTGCTCTTTAACATTTTGAATCCATTTTTAATACTTTTAGACATATCTGTAATTTGGTTTATCCACATTTCAGAAAAAAACCATTAACCTTAAATTTTTATAACAAATTAACATCTCCACCACGAAATTTGTGAAATTTTTCATCTCATTTCTAAATGGTGCCGCTCTGGTGACAGAAAATGTCGTAGAAGCCCTCACTGAAAAATATATCGATACATGCATACAAAAACGGACATAATCGAATCAGGAACATGCTTATTTTTCAAAGTGAACTTACAAAAAACAATCTTTTAAAAAACTGCGGCTTTCGACTTACGTGAAAGATGTCAGATTAAAAAAGAATCTAAACAAATGTAAGATCAATTTATGCTATATAGAATGCTACAAAAAGCATTATCATCATTACAGTCCTTCACAAGTCTTTGACAATTTCAATTGCCTGCGGGAATCGAATCCGAGTTGCTTGCGTACTTGTGAAATTTACAACTGCATGTCTGAGCCTGCGTATGAAATGAAGTTCGCCAACACGCATTGGGGCAACGCGGCGGACATTTCCTAGTCCTAAAACCCCTTCAGAAAAGAGAGGAGGCCTGTGCCCAGCGGTGGAACGTATGTACTCGTAGGCTGTAACTTTAACTTAATTTTATACATGTACGATATTTTGTACAAATATCATACCTGATTGCGAATCTTTGGAGCTACCTATGCTGGGTCGACGGCCTGGAGTTTTCTCTTTGACTGAAACAAAATTATAAATATTAAAATATCATACAATTAAAGATAAAAAGAACTGGTATTATTTTTATTCTAATGCTGCCGCGTTATGTAGTAGCGGGGGTTGGATTTAGTCAGTGTAATCTCAGCAAGCCGCAATAACGCATCTACATTCTGATTCTTAACCGAGGTTAAATGCAGGTCTGTATGGTTCAAAGCATCTATTTAGCATTTGGTGTATGCCATTCTTCTTTTTTATCAGCCCATAAAAGTCCTGGACATGTTCCATTTTCCCTTTGTAGAAAGAGTAAGGCAAGTTCTCCACTTGCCTTAATTCTCAGGCTTGGCAGGTAGATTAGTGGTAAGTCGACTTGTATGATACTTCAGGGGTCGTCCTATAAAATTAGAAGAAATAAATCCATCTCTAAGGGTAGTCAAATAGGGAATAAAGTTTTACACACACATTGACACGTGTGCGTACAGTAAAGGAGTGGAACAATTTGCCGGCGTCTATTGTTGCGTCTGAATTCAATCTCGGCGTTTATAAAGTAAGAGTGAATAAAGTTTTAAGCTAGGATAGTGCAGTTTACTATCCAGGGCTGCAGCACTTGGTTGGCTTGTGGCCGAACACCGGCTTATAATAAGTAAAACATTAAAACACATTCATTTAAAGCTATTTGTTGCAAATGTATTCGATATGTGTGCGTGAGTGTGAGTGTGTGTGTGCGACACGCCTACCAAGTGGGAGGACACTTTTCTACTGAGCAGTAGGTTTGGGTAGATACCATTATGTTATCTACTTCTTCCATCAAATAGTAGTTGTACTATTGTTGCGTAAATGATTTAGAGAAAGTCAGTATAAACACAAGCGGTGAGAAGTTCTGTGTTCCGTGTTGTATCTCATTGGCCTAGTGGTCATAAATATGGTTGATAATTATAAACTCCCAGCTTCAAACGCCGGGTTGAGCCAAAATTTCATAACATACATAAACAATCACGTCTGTCACCCAGAGGGGTAAGCAGAGACTACAGACTTCCGTTTGGCACGATCCTGACACTCCTCTCTCGCCTCCTTCACAACCATATACGCACCGACGCATACATGCTCGTCGGTTAAGGGTACTTCTAATTTGGACCGTTTTCAATAAATCGCCAATAGCGTCAATAAATTTTCGCCTAGGACGTTCCTTTTCGACTCTCCCGTTCACTTCTGCAACATAAATTTTCTTTGCCACTCTTTCCTCATGACCAAACCACCGAAGCATTCCTTTCTTAATCCTGGTCACAACATCATCTTGCAAACCACACTCTTCTTTTATCACACAATTTCTCACCCTGTCACTCAGATTCAGCCCTAACATACTCCTTAGCGACCGCATTTCTACTGCGTTCATTCTACTCCCATACTTCTTCTGCCACACCAAACTTTCACTACCATACGTTAAAGTAGGAACCAACACAGCATTATGAATTGCCTACATGCCTTTTTTGACATATTCTGACTCTTCATAATAGGCTAAAATTAGTTATTGGTTTTTTCTGTTAAGGAATTGTCGGTAACAGCCCCGAATCGATAAGTTGGCGGTGTGTTTACACGTGCTTCGGAAAACCACGTAAAGCCGTAGCTACTGCGTCTGCTCTATATCGGTTGTGTCGGATTACTACGATTGTGTGGGAGTGCATTTTGCGTTCGCGTATGCACTCGGGCAATATAACTTTGTCTGCTAGACGGTTAGTCTCCTTTGAGACTAGCTGCTGACGAAATTTGCTCTGGAGAATGTGAAATAGTAAGATTGATCTTCAGGTAAGAAAAAAAAATACATCTATTTGTTAGCATTACCTGTATACAAATTGAATTTAGGTATAAATAAAGAAAATAGAGGATTTATTTCTAAAGCAGTACGCAAACAAGAAATTTTATTTATCTAAGTAAAAATAAGTTAAATTGTTATGAAAAACAATTACCTGGTGGTGTATCGTCGTCTCGCGCGAAGGCGGCGTGCACGCGTCGCGTGCGGCCCTCCACTGCACAAATATCAATAGAACTTTCAAACTCAGTTTATCAAACACTATATTAGAAAACAGTAAGCATTAGTGCGATTGTCCAGCGTCGCTGACGAGAACGAGATTATTTTTGGACGAGATCGAGATGACGTTGCGGCAAACAATTGTCTAGGAAGACGATCGGTGTGGTTCCCTCAGAAGGTGCAGCAGTGGTGCGGGGGGGGGGGGGGCAAGTCAGACACGTATGAGTGTGCGTGTCTCGGTGACGCCCGGTGACGGCAAGGTGGACAATTGCTCTTATCAATATAACATATAGTAAACCCTCGTTAATGCGAACACGGTTAACACGAATTTTGGTTTAAGGCGAACAAAAATTTGCTCTAGACAATAGTTCCATAAGCTTCAATGTAATTATGTTCGGTTAAGACGAATCCTCGTTAATCCGAACTTCGAACAACTTTTTCGTCCCTTCACGGTTAATTATCGGATAATACGAACTATAAAAATTTCCAAATCATGTATTTTGTATATTTTTGTCCTTTTTCGGTCAATACAAATACCGGTAAACAATTGCTGAAGAGATTAGAAAAGTCATTAACTCGAGTTACTAAAAATAGACAATGATTAGTATATCAAACATTCACTCGAGTACCTAAAAATAGAAACAATACCTCAAATTTTCTTTCCGTCTTACAGAAGCTATTGAAAAACTAATGAAAACTTTTGAAAACTAATTAACAAAAGCAAAGGCTTCTTAACAATTTGGCTTTTAAAAGTTATTGTAAATATAAAATAATAAAATCAAAGTTATTAATAAAAATGTTTCTATGATGAATCATAATGTTGAGTTTAGAAACACGAATTCATTTTTTGCATTGTTCGGATTACACGAACTCCCCTGTAACACGAACTATTTGTCTGTTTTTTTCGTGTTCGTGTTAACGAGGGTTTACTGTATAACGTTACTAACTTTTAATTTTGTTGTTCTTACACATATGTGCTTTTTTACAAATATAGACAGTTTAATTCAATATAGATTATAACTAATACTTATTAAAAGTCACTCTTGTTTATTAACCACTGAAAATACCTGTCTCATGAGAAAAACCACCAAAAAAACCTAGCCGTAAGTGTTTTTTTAAACAAAACAACAATTTATAATCATTAAAGTTACACAATAATTAACAAAACAAATCAAAGTAAAAACAGCTTGGTAACCATCACCTCATTGCAAGAGATAATCATCATCTGTAAAAACAGCTTGGTAACCATCACCTCATTGCAAGAGATAATCATCATCTGTAAAAACAGCTTGGTAACCATCACCTCATTGCAAGAGATAATCATCATCTGTAAAAAAGTTGGTAACCATCACCTCATTGCAAGAGATAATCATCATCTGTAAAAACAGTTGGTAACCATCACCTCATTGCAAGAGATAATCATCATCTGTAAAAACAGCTTGGTAACCATCACCTCATTGCAAGAGATAATCATCATCTGTAAAAACAGCTTGGTAACCATCACCTCATTGCAAGAGATAATCATCATCTGTAAAAACAGCTTGGTAACCATCACCTCATTGCAAGAGATAATCATCATCTGTTAAATCCTTAATATTATAACAACCCAGTCCTATCAAAGTCCACCATAAACAAAAGCCTCCTTAATCAATTTTTTTTGTACTTCTATGCGCACTAACTATGGCAAGAGCAATATCTCGTACATGTAAATCTTATAATAACAAATTTTCACACAATTTGTTTTCTCTGTCATACGGACGATTTAAAAATGAAATTAAAACTATAATGGTTAATAGTTAAATTAATTTTCACTTCACTTCATATTACACTTTGAATTAACTTTAATTTTACACGCCTAAGAATGTCATGATTTTCGCTAGGTGTCGTTGAGTTACTTAACTGTAAAAACTTAATTTAATGTAATATTAATATGTGTTATGTATTAGACTAAACTATATATATGTTTCCCTTGAAGATGAAATAAATAAATAGATAGATTGCTTCATATGAACAATGTTTACCATAGTTACCACGCTTCAAAACGAATTATCAACCGTAATATTTTATCTAAAGTTTTGGAACTATATGTAAATTTTATTTTGTATATTTTCACATAATCTCAATGTTATTAAATGTTAAATATCTTCTTAGCAACAAACTTCGTCATTAATCCTTACTGCTCATAGATCACATACATAATCTTTATACATAATAGAAAACACATTACATAGTTATCTATCTCATTCTTTTGCAGGCTAAAATCCTCCCATCCCTTCTTCCCCATCCTTTCCCAGAAGGTTTTTAATTTCATAAAGTTTTAAAATTATAACAATTTTAAAGACTATTTCCCTATATTATCTTTCTCTTAAAAAAAACGTAAGAAATAAATAGCTATGTGTACAGCAACAACTCACTTGTGGGCGTGTCGGCGGAGGGCGTGGGGCTGGGCTTGCTGCGGAACGTGATGCTGATGGGCGAGCTACCGCCTGACGTCGCCGTCTGTTAAAAACATCAAATGTGAACTCGGTTCGTTTAGCAAACATAATAAAAACATACATAACATAAACACTCACGCCGGTCACTCAGAGGGACAGGCAGAGACTACGGACTTCCATTTGGCACGATCCTGACATACCTCTTTCGTCTCCTTTACATCCATATATGTACGCATACATGCTCGTCGGTTAAGGGTACTTCTAATGTGGCCCATTTTCAAAATATCGCTAATTTGGTCCATAAACTTTTTTCTAAGGCGTCCCTTCCAGACTCTGCCGTTCACATCTGCCATATAAATTTTCTTTGTCACTCTTTCCTCATTCATTCTTTCTACATGACCAAACCACCGAAGCATTCCTTTCTTAATCCTGGTTACATCATCTTGCATACCACATTTATATTTTAGCAAACAACAAATTCAAAATTAAGAAAAAAACATGCACTAAGTATATGTTGCAGTGACCGCGTACAAATCTTCAATAACCCCTGCTATAACATCCCGTGGATGTCACAAGAAGCGATATAGGGAAACATCTTCCTAATAAAGACTTTAAAAATTGCGGTTTTCAACCCGCTTGCCAAGCTTGCCTCGGCAATTTATGGAGGCAGTCTATGCACAGTAGTGAACTTTAAAAGGCTGCAACCGTAACGTTAAATTAAAAATACTTATTATCAAATATGAGCCAAGAACTATATAATATGTGTGATTGGTGTGGAAGAATACATGGGGATGTGATGTGTGTATACAAAGCTAGTATAATTACAGGCTTTAAAGTATTGCATCCTGGTCGTCAGTCGTGACAAGACATCAGTTGCCTCGTGTGTGACAGTCGGCTGCAGGTGTCAGCGGGCTGTAACACCACTCACCGTCCGCGAACTGTGAGTTTGTTTGTCACTGCACTTTTGTAACTTTTATCTATACATATAAATGAGTGTTATACTTATAATGTGTTATAATTGTGCGAGTGTGTGTGACTCTGTGATTATATTTTTGAAGGTGTAGGTGTTGTGAAGTGAAAGTGTGAATTTTTGAGGATGTAAGGGTGATGTAAGGAGCGGGGATGCGTGCGGCATACAAGTGTGCGTGTGCGTGCGTGTGTGCGTGTGCGTGCACTCACGTGGTGGCGCACGGAGCGCTCGGGCGAGGGCGGCCGCGGCGGCGTGCTGCCCGCGCTCTGCAACAATATATATCTTCTCAATAACCAAACTAAAACCTAACTAACCACTAATACAAACTTACACTAATTGCACACGCAGTCCAAGCAACACATCTCTAATTGATACGTGACATAACATGACGACCCTAGCTTATATTTCACTTTTGTGAGTGCCGTGTGTTATAGAGTGGCAGCATCGTAACGAGAGACGAAATGTGGGGCGCCCCTCACAAAAATGGAATAACAACCTGGTAAGTCATGTAGGAAGTCGCTAGGAAATGCAAGTAGTGGACTAGGCTATGTTGTGTTCCTTGAAGAAAACCTATGTTCAACAGTGGACTTGTGAAGCGCCGTGTAATGGCGGCGTAAAGAATTGAACACCCCGTTGTTCGTTTCTTACGGCATAACCGTCTCGTTTACAGGTACAAGATACACAAACCGGCAAGTCGTCATCATCAAGTGTTCAAATTCTTAGCAATAACCACAATCATCAAGGTTGCCAAACAATTAAAGCAAATCTTCCCTACAATAAGAATACCCATGTCCAGAAAAGGACTTTCAAAGGTTAATGATATGTAATATATTAACATAGTTTTTTAATAACAGAGAAAATTTTCAGTATTAACCATTCCTCATTATTAGATAATCGCACTGTAAGTCAAATTATACCAGTAGCTGCAATGACCCTTGGTAAAATAATTAAGTTAAGGTAAATGGTCGTTACAGCATTTCTGCAATTAAAGTATAAAAATGAAATTTTGATCCAAAAAGTTTATTCTTTAAAACTAAGAAGAAAATATGCCTTAAGTACAAATATCGTAAAATTTAAAATTTAATACAACATTGCGAAACATTTTGGAAATCTTTTGCGAAGTATTTCTTATGGAATTTTGTTGTAGGGAAAAGAGATCGACATCGAAATAATAAGCTAATCATAACGACAATTTATTATTTATATTGTAAATAAGCAGGAAAAGATGAAAAAATAAATGTGTTATTTTTAACATCACAATATATTTATAAAAATTAAATATATATTTTTATATGAGATATATGTGTGTGCGAAAATTACGTGACAAGAGAGATGAGTGTAGTTTGCAAGATGATGTTATAATCAGGATTAAGAAAAGAAATGAACGGCAGAGCTAACAAGTACGCCCTATAAGAAAGTATATCGACTAAATTGGCGATATATTGATGTTGGACCAGATTATGACTACACTTAACCGATGAGCACGTATGTGTAGGTATATGGATGTAAAGGAGGCGACGGAGGTGTATTAGGATCATGATATATACGTATATACTAACAGATTCCCGATGAGAATTTCCCATTTATGGGGAGAGGTATGAGGAATGATTTAGCTTGTTGTGTGTACGTACGTGCGGCGGGGTGCGGGCGGGCGGCGGCGTGTCGAGGCGCCGGTGCCGGTGGCGGTGGCGGCGCCGCGGCGGCGTGGCTGCGCCCCCCGCCTCGTCCTCACCCCCCGCCTCACCCGCACTCGCCGGCGCCTCGCTCGGCGCACGCTCGGAGCCCGGCGAGCGAGGCGACGGCGGCGAGGGCGAGGGCGGCGGGGAGCGAGGAGACGGCGAGCCCGGGGAGCGCGGCGAGCGCGGCGAGCGGGGAGAGGCGGGCGAGCGCGGGGAGGGTGGCGCGGGCGGCGTCAGCGACCCGTCCGCAGACTCTGCGCGCGGCTCCTCCACAGCCTCCGCGCCCGCGCTGCGTCGCCCGCTGTGAGACACAACCCAATATATTAAAACTGTCAATATATTAAAACCGTCAATATCGGTATAACAGACGGAAGCGGGAAACGTAAGAAAAAATTGCGGAGGCAGCAAGCAATCACTCTCGTGCAGTATTCGACAAGTTACGCTCCGTCTACGTCAAATACTGCATTATTGATTAAAACCCTAGGCAGCTTTCGGCAGAAACAAAAACCATCACTTAAATTTACAACCTATTTAAAAAAAACATGTGTGCAGTTCACATGCAGTAGAAATAACACCTTTAGAAACAAAACTTCAAGAGAATAAAATGAATGCGTGTAGTATCTTCTATCTCATTCTCTTGCAGGCTAAATTCTATATATGTATGTTTGTTTCATTTTCCGTCACTTGATCGTTTCTTAGATCATTAAAATCACAAAGATTCGAAAGAGTTTTTCAATTCAAAAGGTACCAATAAAGTTACTTGAAAATTATCTAAACCAGCCCCTTATATTACTCGTATATCGTATTACTGATAATATTTTCGATTTCTGCTCAATTTTAATAAGAATTATATAGTCTACAACATTGAATATATCCTGATTTGATTGTCATGAATGGATAACAATAGTACATGATTATTATCGTGACAATATAAATATTCCCGTGCGTGCAAATGTATTATGTTTTAGTTGTTTTTTTAATTATAGCTTTTTTCCAGCATATTGCAGAAATTTCGTGGATGTCAAATAAATAAGCATTGTAGAGAACTGAGCCTAGCTGCCAACCTTGTGGTACTCCACATTTTATAGATAAAGTTTGACCTGCATTCGCCTTGTTGCTTGAGTTGATGTTACATATATATAATTTTATCCATCAATGCAAATATGCTTTTATACCTAAATCATGTAATTTTACAATAGGATAACGTGATCTACTCTCGAAATCGGTGTATATCACGTCAATCTGTGCACGTATTTGCATGCTGTTTAATATATAGTATGATGTGAATTCAATAGATTAAAACGTAGAACTGTCATGTATTTAACTTAGAAATCGTACGATAATAGGTAATTTTAGTTTTTGTGGCTTCATTATGAAAATATGTTGTTATTTTTCATTGAATGATTTGTCATTTAAGTAAAGTGATTTTTAATTAACTTTGATAAATTTAGGTATTATAGTTTGTGTTTTTGGTGTAAGTATTATGTATGAATTAGAATAAGTCAATAAATATTATTCTTAAACGTAAATTATAGCTTATCGATAGTTATAGTTAGAATTTATTTTATTCAAAATGTGGTAATGAATGTTATTACTTCATAATAAGAAGTGTGTTAGGTATTTATTAGGATACACTTCTTGTTATATCATAATTGTTAGTAATGTCGTAATCGTGGTGAATAGAATTATAATTTGTAACTTTATACTTTGTGACATGCAATAAAGAATTATGAATTATATAAAATATGAAATAGTATTTTGAAATATAGGAAGAAATTAGTTCCTATTACTTATGTAAATTTTTTTCCAGGAGCTAAGGTGACATTTCACGAGAGTGGCGGTACGTAGGCTCAAGGCCAGGAATACCGCCCCAGGACCCGATGGCTTGCCTGGCAAAGCCTGGGTCCTGGCCTCGGAGGCTCTCGGGCCCCGACTGGAGGGGCTCCTAAGCGCATGCTTGGAGAGAGGGCCAATTCCAGCTTCGTTGGAAGACGGGGAAGCTGGTCCTCATTCGGAAGCCGGGGCGCCCTGCGGACTCTCCGTCCGCATACCGGCCCGTGGTGCTGCTCGACGAGGTGGGCAAGCTCTTTGAAAGAGTCATTGCAAACCACCTCGCCGAGCACCTTGCGGGGACGGGGCCGGATCTTGCGGAACACCAGTTTGGTTTCCGCAAGAGGCGCTCTACGGTGGACGCCATCATGCGCGTGAGAGCCCTCACGGCGGGGGATGCAGTGGCCAGAGGGGGAGTTGTCTTGGCGGTGTCTCTCGACATCGCCAACGCCTTCAACTCCATGCCCTGGAGCTGCATTAGGGAGGCACTCCGGTATCACCGGGTGCCGACCTATCTCCGTCGTATAGTCGGGGACTACCTGACGGACAGGGCCGTCATCTACCCCGGTCGCAACGGTGAGTGGAACCGGCGAGAGATGTCGTGCGGTGTCCCACAGGGTTCGGTTCTGGGGCCACCTCTGTGGAACATCGGTTACGACTGGGTGCTGCGCGCCGACCTCCCTACCGGCGTCAGCGTAGTTTGTTACGCTGACGACACGCTGGTACTAGCACAAGGGGGGGTCGTACGAGGCGGCGGCGGAAAATATGACACGCGGGGTTGCGATAGTCGTTGAGAGGATTCGGCAACTGGGTCTCGAGGTGGCTCTGCACAAGTCCGAGGCCATGCACTTCCATGGTCCTCGGAACAGGCCACCACCGGGATCCTCAGTGATGGTAGGAGGGGTATCCATCGACGTCGAGTCGACGCTGAAGTACCTAGGACTCGTCCTCGACGGCCGATGGAACTTCGTTGAGCACTTCCGACGTTTGGCTCCCAAACTGGAACGGACCGGGGCTGCCTTCAGGCGGCTCCTGCCGAACCTGGGAGGGCCAAACGCCTCCTGCCGGAGGCTCTACGCGGGGATCGTGCGGTCCATGGCCCTTTACGGGGCCCCAGTGTGGGCGCGTGGTTTGGCGCGGCTTGCCGTCCACCACCTGAACGCGCCCCAAAGGGTGATAGCCGTGAAAATGGTTCGCGGCTACCGCACGATCTCCCGCGAGGCGGCGAGCCTCCTTGCCGGATTGCCGCCATGGGATCTGGAGGCGATAGTCCTCGCGCGCCTGCACGAATGGCGTGCGGAGGCACTATGCCGTGGGGAAACCCCGCTGCCGCGGCAAGTTGTCGCGCAGCGGACAGACTTCCGGCACGATCTCATGGCGACATGGAGACAGCGACTGTCGCAACCCCGTGCTGGGCACGCCACTATAGCGGCGATAAGACCCCTCTTTGAGGAGTGGCTTGAGAGACGCCACGGCATCCTCACCTTCCGCCTGACGCAGGTCCTCACCGGACACGGTGTGTTTGGGAGGTTCCTGCACCGAATCGGGCGGGAGGAAACGCCCGGGTGCTCCCACTGCGAGGATGGACCGGAGGACACGGTGGAACACACCGTGGAGGTGTGCCCTGCTTGGGCGGAGCACCGCCGGGTCCTCGTAGCGGCGATAGGCGGCGGCGACCTCTCGCGTCCGGCCCTGGTCGAAGCCATGGTCCGGAGCGAGACGGAATGGGATACCGTCACCACCTTCTGCGAAGCAGTGATGCTGGCGAAGGAGGTGGCGGAGCGGGAGAAGGAGAGAGCAGCAGCTTTCCTCCCCGGCCGCCGCGGGAGACGCCCCGGGCGTCGGGGGCTACGTCGTGGCCCCCGGCCACCGTAGGCGCGGGCCTGTGGACGGCGAGCAATGGGTAGCTCGTCGTCCGTCCGTCTAATGACGACAGGCCGTGTCGACGGCGCGTTTTGTTCCACGCGCGCCTCAAAGAGCTGTCAGCAGCGTGAAGGGGCCCGCAAGGGCCGACGCCTGCCGGGGCTGCGGGCTGTTCGAAAGAGATACCGCGGCTCCGGAACGTAAGGGCACTGAAGGAACACGGATGGTTTTTAGTCAGTAAAAGTCTGACACTCCCTTACGCTCCACCCAGAGCGAAAGGGGTCATTAGATGATTTTCCATCCGCAAAAAAAAAAAAAAGGTGACATTTCACAACTCACAAGTATTGTTATAACATTTTTCTAAAAGTGTATGTATTAGTGTTATGAAACGTTCAATGTATTTTGACACAGCGTGTACAGTTCTTGGTGTACGTGCATGTGCGCGGCGCGGTGGCGGTGGTAGAGGCACATTGGGTGCTGGTAGCTCGTCCGTGTGTGTGTGTGTGGTGGTGTGCGTACCTGTGCGCGGCGCGGTGGCGGTGGTGGCGGTGGCGGTGCGGCGGCGCGCTGGTGTCGATGAGCGCGCGCGGCTCGTACTGCGCGTCGTGGTCGCGGCGCGCGCGCGCCCACGCTGCCGCCGCCGCACGCGGACTGGCGCCGGCCGCCAGGTCGCGGCGCAGCGCCTCCAGCTCGTCGGCCTCGCGCGCCCGCTCACGCGCGTCCGCCTCCGCCTCGCGCACGCGCGCGCCTAGCCGCCGCGCCAGCTCCTTGCCCTGCGCCACCACCCCGACATCAACATCGTCACATACATCCTCACACCGCTACCGTTCACAACTACACTTTTATGTTTTAAAACATTTCGCAACAAAATATACTACGAAAATAAACGTTATCATATTGTTTTCAATACCATAATTTTATGATATCAGTAGCAACATTTACAAATAAAAACAATGTTTATAAACAATTTAACATAATTTCTTTAATCATAATTTCAACGCAAAAAGTTGTCATTAATAGTATGAGTTCTTTCGGGTCGATTGTACAAATGGGCGTGCATCAGGGCTCAATTCTCGGCCCCTTTTCTATTTCTAGTATATATTAATGACTTACCTTACATAGTAGGGAATAACCATGATATAGTATTATTTGCTGATGATACTTCATTAATTTTTAAATTAAAACGACAGTTATCAAATTACGACGAAGTAAATTATGCTATAGCTAAGTTAGTCAATTGGTTTAATGTCAATAATTTGCATTTGAATGGAACTAAAACTAAATGAATGAAATTCGTAACTCCTAATGTTAAACTTGTCAATACTAATGTAATTTTAAATGGGTTGAAACTGAGTCTTGTTGATACCACCATTTTTCTTGGAATCACACTGGACGCAAAGCTTCAATGGCTCCCCCTATATATCAAAACTAGCTAGCAGACTTAGTTCTGCAGCATATGCTGTGAAAAAGATTAGAACTCTTACCAGTGTTGAAACAGCTAGAATAGTTTACTTTAGTTATTTCCATAGCATTATGTCGTATGGTATTTTGCTATGGGGACACGCGACTGACACTGAAATTATAATTATTTTACAGAAGAGGGCCATTAGAGCAATATATAATTTAAAACCAAGAGTCATTGAGACAAAAATTTAAGGAAATTAATATATTAACTTTGGCCTCTCAATACATTTATGAAAATGTAATATAATATGTACACAAAAATAAAAGTAGTTTTGTGAAAATAAGTGATATTCATTCTGTAAATACTAGGAACAGACACAAGCTAGTAGTACCAGTTACTCGACTCCACCGAGTCAGTAATTCATTCTTTGGGCGATGTATACGCTTTTACAACAAAATCCCAGAAAATATACAAAATTTGTCATACACGAAGTTCAAAAATGTTATTAAACTAAGTTTGTATAAAAAGGGTTATTATAATATTAAGTAATTTATGGATGATAATAACCCCTGGGAAGGGTGATCGCTACCAAGCTATTTCTAATTTGTCTTGTGTTGTTTATTGTAAACATAATTGTAAGCTATTATTTGGAAAAAAAATAGTTCCGCTGGGTTTCTTGCTGGTTCTTCCCAGGACAGAGGTTTTTTTGCGAACCAGTGGTAAATTAAAAAGTGACTTTCAATAAGTATTGTTATAATCTACATTGAGTAAAAAAGTTTTTGTTTCTGTTTCTATCTCTAACTTGGCGCGTAACCTTAAAGTAATTATTAAACTTTTCGACAGCAATTAACAGAAAAAATATCAAATACATGCATTTTGCCTTGCCCTCTATTTAAAGATTTTAAATTAACAGACAAAATCAAGATTTTAGATCTGAAACAAAGAAAATCCTTCAAAATAGAAGACGTCTGGCTACCCTACACACTGCCCGGCACTCTAAATGTATAAATATATAAGTAAGAACTATTAATCAATGAAGCACTACGTATACTGAATGATCTTTTTAGTCTGGAAAAATAGAGAATAACAGGTGAACGAAGAATAAAGCTACGGCAAAAATATTTAATGCAGTGAATGAGAGTAGAGTGCAGTGTATAGGGGATGTAGGATATATGGTGCATGGTACAATGTGTAAGGTACAGGGTGTAGGGTGTAGTGTGTACAATAAACACACGGACCTGTCCATCCGTCGGCTACGCGTAGACAGCGACGACCATCCGCGCGTCTACGGTTGCCTCTGTAGGTCCCATAGCGGTAATGCCGAAACAGACCGACTCTTCGACCACGTCCAAATGGCTACAGATTCGTTGCTACAGCAGATCCCCTCCGCAGAGATCGTGATCCTCGGCGACTTTAACGCCCATCACGCCGAATGGCTTGGTTCACGTTTAACCGATCATGCGGGGAGCTCTGTTCATGATTTTGCCTTGGCATATGGTCTGACACAACTGGTTACTTCGCCTACGCGGATTCCAGATGTGGAGGATCATGCACCTTCCCTGTTGGACCTTTTGCTGACTCTCATCCGGACGGATATCAGATTTCAGTCGACGTTCCTTTAGGCTCTTCGGACTATTGTTTTGTCCGGAGTGTGGTGCCACTCACGCTGAAATCGCAATTGCATTCTGCAGGCTGCCGCCGTGTTTGGCACTATAGGTCAGCCCATTGGGATGGGATGCGGTCTTTCTTTGCATCCTACCCTTGGGGGCGGGTTTACTTCTCGCCGGACGATCCCAAGGTTGTTGCGGATTCAGTCGCTGATGTGGTACTTCAGGGTATAGAACTTTTTATTCCTTCATCTGTGGTGCCTTTGCTGAACAGAGTCTCGGATTGGGGGCGACAAAATCTATTTCAGTTTAACGCTCAGAAGCCACAAGTTTGCGCGTTAACCGCCAAAAAGAACCCCTTTATCGTATCTCCTCAGTTTCAAGGCACTCCCCTTGTTGCCTCAGCCAGTATCGGAATCCTCGGCGCCGACATATCGAGTGACGTGCAGCTTTGTGGTCAATTGGAAGAGAAGGCCAAATTGGCCTCTAAAAAGCTTGGCGTGCTCAGCAGAGCGGGACAGTATTTCATGCTGCAACTTTACAAGGCGCAGGTTCGGCCGCACATGCAATACTGTTCCCATCTCTGGGCTGGAGCTCCCCAGTACCAGCTCCTTCCACTTGACCACATTCAGCGCAGAGCGGCTCGAATCGTCGACAAGCGAGTGCTTTCCGATCGACTCGATTCACTGGCGCTGCGAAAATGTTGCATCTCTTTGCATTTTATTTCGCATATACCATGGAGAGTGCTCTGAAATTGTTCGGATTAATCCCAGCCGCCAAATTTCGTGAACGCACTACACGGCAAACGTCCCGATACCATCCACACCATCTTGATGCCTGGCGGTCCACCACTGTACGTTTCACATATTGGAATAGTTTACCACCGGCGATTTTTCCGGACCGATACGACCTGGGGACCTTCAAGAAAAGAGCTTACTCCTTTCTAAAGGGCCGGCAACGCACCTGCAATTTCCCTGGTCTTGCGGTTGATAATGGGCGGCGGTAGTCACTTAACATCAGGTGAGCCGCATGCTCGTTTGCCCCCTCTTCTATAAAAAAATACATTTTTTTTTATTCAATATATATTACTAGTAATTCTTATTGAAAATCATGTTTTACTTTACCACTAGGGTGTAAGGTGTAGTGTGTAGGGTGCAGCGTGTACAATTTACCTTGTAGTACTTGTGGTCGTCGCGCTCGTCGTCGTAGTCCTCCAGGAACTCCTTGAGGCGCTTGGCCTCGCGCGCGCGCTCGTGCGAGCGGGCGCGGGAGCGCGAGCGCGAGCGCGCGTGCTCCTGCGCCTTGCGCCGCTCGCGGCTCTCCCACTTGCGCAACCTGCCCGCACATCACACATGTAGCCTAGCTCCGTTGAGGTTGTGCGCTGGCTTCACACAGAGACTAAACAAACACTTCTATGTACACACTACTAGACGGGCTTAAATCATTACTTACTAAGTTACGGTCAATTCACCGCAACTTCTTTAATCGACTTTGAGCAAGCAAGAATACTAGTTCTTATTTTTGTAAACTGCGAACTTTGTTTTCGATAATTTATTATTGATTTTGTTTAATAAGACTTCGACAATGCTGTCATTATTTATGAGCACATTTTGTCGACTTAATTTAAAATTTATTTCAGATAAGTATGTGTAACTTTATTTCATCGTAAATGAAAACACAACTGCGTGGCACATTTAACGTGCCAGCTACGCGCCCTTAAGATACAGTTGTGACACAGTTTTTGTTCCGAATTATCGATCTAGGAATATATATATAGAATTCTTTGGCATTAAATTCTTTTTATAAATGGACTCTACTAGTACTTGTGTCAGGATTAACAGGCATGGTTGTATAGAGTCGCTTAATCTATTTATGGAAAATTGTTTGAAAAATCTAAAAGTTGAAAAACATGAGTTAAGAATGGATAAGTTAACCGTCAAATCTTCCTGAATCTATTAATAGCCTTATTTTTTACTGTCTACACAGCAAAACAAAGTCTTCTTGGCAAGACCTCAATATGTGATTCCCATTGTAATCGAAAGTAAATTGTAATATCAAAAAACCTAAATAAACATTTAAGAGTTAGTAACGCAACTGGTGAGTTCGAACACTCTGAACGGCAGATCGCAAATGTTAGGGATAGTTTCTGTATTCCACACGCCTAGCAAAAAAAGTAAAGATCAAAACTTATTACAGGCATAGATAATTTTGACTAAAGTGTAATAAAGATATGCATACACAAACTGGCACAAAGCCGAAGAACAAATACGCGACCATAAACAAAAAATTGGCGAACCTCAAAAGCGATATAAATTTTCAAGGTGGTAAAACGAACCTTTTGACAATAATTCATAAAAAGACGGAGACTATACTACTGCTGATTAAATTACCAAAATTTATTTATTATATTATTTTATTTTACTTTAATTACAGAAAATCAATTACAACTTAAAACACACTGAAGCAATACAACTGCGAACTAAAGTGATCAGTAGTAAAATTGTGTTTTATTATTAAAGTATTCGCTTGTATCGCCAATTCAATTCTCACTCGTTCGCAGTCCTTACCGGACTTATATAGGGCGTCTTCTACTGAAACATCTAGAATGTTCGAATACATACCGGTCCAGACTGACTAGGTGTAGAAAGTTCTAGCATGGAAATTTCTAGAAAGATCTTGACTCTCCTAGTTCTGTTACTCGATACTAGATGGTAACTCGCCATGTACCGTGCATTAATTACGGCGCGCAACAATATAAAATTCTCAAATTATGAGAAATGGCTACGGACCCAACTCATTCCATATTTGAGGCCTAACTCGGTAGCGGTAATCGATAATGCTCCATACCACAACAAATAAATGAATCCTGTCCGAACATCTAATAACAAAAAGGCAACAATAGAATCGTGGTTCATAAAAAAGGTGTGTCATATAAAAAGGAGATGCGCAAACCGAAGTTGTACGAAATAATAAAAAAGACAAAGACATACACAAAAAATACGTTATAGATGAAATATTTAAGACACAGCCACGAGGAGATACTACGGTTAGCTCCGTATCATGCAGATTGGACTGCTATTAAGAGTTAGCCGCTAAAAACTTTGACTGGAGCATAACCTGAACAATGGAGCTAATCCAGGAAAAAGTAAATTTAATGGGGTAAGAAGAATTATTTGTGCAGAAGACCATATTATTGACCAAACGAAATCATCACAAAATGGTCAGATTCTGAAGGTAAATCTGAAAACGAGAGCGACGATTCCGATGATGAACCTGTGCCAAGCACTTCACATATGAGTTCGTGTTAAGGATATGCCCCTTCAGTCACAGTGATTGATAACATACACATATTGATTGAACTTTGTTAATAATAATATCTTATGGCATTAAGTCTGCCTTATATACATCGCTAATGTGCATTAAATTTATTTGTTTATTGGTCGAAATAAAGGATTTTATTATTTATTAAAGTGTAAATTAAAAAATCCGTTTTATTTTTCCTTTCTTACTGTATCGTTTTTCTGTGTGTATATTTGTTTGTCTGACTATTACAATTTTCCTCACGAATGTCCGTGCGCGAAAGTTCGGAAAGCAAATGTTCAGAGCGGCCACAACTTATCTGCCGTGTTATAGAATACAGGAAAATGTCTAATTGGCAAATCATTATCTTCTCAAACTGTCGCGACACTTGGCACAAAAAATATAATAGCTTACACACGCTTTATTATTTCGGCTTAGTACCTTTAAAGTGCATGTAAATGCCTCTTTTCAAGTGTTACTTGGGTACAAACCATAGAATACTATTATATATATATATATATATATATATATATATATAGTATCCCCACGTAGCCACTAAAATGTCACTAACACGTCCAATTCACACGTATTAAATGTCAACACGAGATGTGTTTTGACGTTACAATCGTTTCCAAATTTCGCATGCAAATTATATAGAAAATGCCAAATTGCACCCTATTTACACATAAAAATGTATAAAAATTTAAACGATTTTTTTAAATTATGATCTTGAAGATTAATCAAAAGTCTAAAATGTGTAAATTTATTCAGTCTGTCAAGACAGCGAATCGGGTTTGGCGAAGCCCTTCCTCGTACAAAATAAAGTTGACAGCCATTCTATTGTGTATTATAGTATTATATGGTACAAACAATAAGTATAAATACAGTATTTCTCGTGCATTACCATACAGACAGCTTTGCGATCAGTGTGATGAAGCAAATATCTGTCATTATTCCCTTAAAGCAGGACTGTACAATTTCAACTTTACGAAACAAGCACAAATTCTTCAGTAATTACAGCATTAAAATAAACCAAAATTTGAAATAAAACAATATACCTAGAACTTTTAGTTCTATTTTGTTTTATTCCAAATTTAAATATTTCTAAGTTTTAAGAAGATAATAGCATTAAATTTAAATAATTTTATATTGTATTTATGTGTAATTTTATATGACGGCTTCATCCTGATATTTGTGTAGTTTAATTTAACTTAAGATAAATTTCAAAATTGTAAAGGTATCTGAATTAAGAATGCATAGAAGTTTTATATCATAGTATTTAACCATAAATTACAACTTATCTTTAGAAAACAAGTGTTACAATAAAGTTTTAAAGCCGCATTAGCACACTCACCTCTCCTGGTACGCGACTTCCTTCTCGCGGGCCTTCTTCTCGAGGCGCTTCTTCTCGCGCGCCTCCTCCTCCATCTCCTTCTCGCGGCGCGCATCGGCCTCACTTCTACTGCGCCCTCTAGACTTTTCTCTATCTCGATCCCTCTCTCTCTCGCGGTCTCGGTCACGCGATCGTTCTCTTTCTCTTTCCCGTTCTCTTTCGCGCTCCCTTCAAATTTAAAAGAACATACATAAAATTAAAACAAAATTATATTTATAATATATTATACACAATAAACTATAAAATAATTATAAAAAAGCATGTGTTCACACGCGGTAGAAGAGAAAACTTCGAAAAAGTAGAAAAGAGTGGGGAAGCTACGGAGCACCGCACAAAGTGGAGACCGAGATAATAGGAAACAATGTATACCGATTTTTATATCGATCTCTCGTAGGTTAAATCCTATAGATATACAGGGTTACTGGTAACTCGCCACGGCGTGATAGTTGGGGTCATAACCTATCAAATGAACCATAAAATGCATTATGCGAATGTGGACCAATTTCTAGATATTTTAGGTTTAATTATTTTTTTCAAAAATCCCAAAAGTCTGGTGTCAAAAATTTCTAAAAAAAACTTACTGTATTATTTTCATTTTATTATTTTTACTTAATGAAAACCTGGATACTTATTTATCAATACTACAGTGTGCAAAAAGTCTCATCATTTTCGAAGTAACGCTACTAAAAGTACAACTTTTTCCAAACATAAGATAAGTAATTAAAAATAAAAATGATTTTGTGAAAAAAAATTGTATGTGACCAATTGTGCAAATCATGTTAAAAACATCCCTACTTATCTAGCTACCCAACGAAGTATCAATTTAGCTTGTAACTTAAATAGTACAGAATAAAACTTGAAAAAAAGGGACCAGGTAGACAAATTCCGAGTAGCAATGTTTTGGGTAATCCCAAACAATCGCTTCTCGGAACCTTATCAACAGCTGCGGGAATGCTCGTAAAAGATTGTGCGTTTGAACTTACGCTATTGTTTACATTTAGTGTGAAATTAGAAACAAGTTAAACAAGAAGAAACTGTTCAATCAGTCATCAGTATTACAGGCATCGTACACACGCGCGCATATCCCTCCCTGTTACACTTAAAGAAGTTGAGTTTCAAAGTTTTATGGCGGCGGCACCACCAAGACGCGGAGATCATGCAAGGCAATCATTTTCCAACGGGGAATACGCAGATATCTTTTATCTTTATGGATATTGTGACGGTGACGAAGTAACGCTACTAAAAGTACAACTTTTTCCAAACAGAAGATAAGTAATTATAAAATAAAAATGATTTTGTGAAAAATAATTGTATGTGATCAATTGTGCAAATCATGTTAAAAACATCCCTATTTATCTAGCTCTAGAATGAGGCCAGGTCAGGAATGGTCTACTGTGCATACTGCGGGGCTTTATACGTACCCCTACACACCAGTGCATGTGATGGAAGAAGGAGATTAATATTGGTTAAAAATAAAACACAAATTCCTTTGTCTGCTTAGAACTCGACTACCTGACCTCATTCTAGAGCTAGATAAATAGGGATGTTTTTAACATGATTTGCACAATTGATCACATAGAATTATTTTTCAGAAAATCATTTTTATTTTTAATTACTTATCTTCTGTTTGGAAAAAGTTGTACTTTTAGTAGCGTTACTTCGAAAATGATGAGGCTTTTTGCACACACTTTTAGTATTGATAAATAAGTATCCAGGTTTTCATTAAGTAAAAATAATAAAATGAAAATAATACAGCTGTAAGTTTTTTTTTAGAAATTTTTTAATACCAGACTTTTGGGATTTTTGAAAAAAATAATTAAACCTAAATATCTCGAAATTGGTCCACATTTGCATAATGCATTTTATGGTTCATTTGATAGGTTATGACCCCAACTATCACGCCTTGGCGGGAATACGTCGAGTTACCAGTAACCCTGTATATGTTCCTCTCTTGTTAGTGTCGCTTTTGCGTTTCATACAGTTTCAAATGACAACGAGTCTAATATGTGCATCAAGTTTTCAGTTCAAAATAATGAAAGATCGAATAAGTTGCTCGTTTGTCACCCTATCGTATATAAAAAAGTTACAGTGATCACGCCCGGTACTGCCATAGTCAATAGGTCAATAGTCAATTCGACAAGCGTTCGACGATTAAGGCTAAAATTTCGCACAATGAGGTATGGCTAATAAAGTAGTTTTGCGGGCTGATAAAAAAGAAGAATACACAGTCACCATGCTAATTTAAAAAAAATTATCCCCACATAAAGTTTTTCTTCTGTATCGTGGAGGCCGTTTAATATAACAATTATTGTTATAATAACAAGCTGTATATACTGGCTAGCTGTAATAACAACCTATTTCACCCCTCAGGTGTTGTGTCTACGTCGGGAAAGGAGTATACAACCTGTCCCAAAATTCAACGATAAACGGGCACCAGACGGTGGACCTGCTCATGGATTACTCGAGAAAATAAAAATAAAAAAAAATTTAAATCGTTTTTGTAATTACAAAAAAAATTAAATTCTTCGAAAATCGATACCCCGATATGGTATTTTTAAATACCATGAGCACATTATTAATTTTTTTTGTATTTGTTTTTATCGGCAACCTTAGTAGTACTACTATCTACCACAACCCTTATAAATTCAAGAATACATGTAGTTTTTAGACAAAAATCTATCAAAATTATTTTTTCCCCTAAAATTTTGAAAGATATTATACTTTGTGTCTACTTTCACTCATCGTGGTGTAAAAAAAAGTACAGACACTAGTATGGCAAGTTTTTTTTAAATTGAGAACTAACCAAGATTCTAAAATGGTATAATACTCTTGGAAAACTAGCCACAAAAAAGCTACTATTTCTAAACAAGAAGAAATTTTAAATTTTTTTTATGTTTCACTACACTACACTATGTGCCAAAAAAGGTTTTTGTTGCAAGTTCTTAGAACTTGAATTGGAGATGTGCGTAGTCAGTAAAATTTAGGAGTTAGAGAGAGTTAGATAGAGAGACTATACGTTAGAGAGACATAGATGATGTTCATTGTTTAATAACAATAGGGCAGGTATACAAGTTGCTTTAGTGTTCTCAACAAGTCAGTCAGTACACTCTGCTCCTTTGTTTACTGTGCACCGTTCCGTATTCAATTGATGTGGCTCTCGTACTAACGACTTTTGGCTTCGCTTTTTGGACTGGTCATCTGTAAACTGAACTGACCTGGAATTATTTTGGACTGTGATTGTGTTTTGTGAATTGGACTATTGGCGTATTTTGGACTGTTTAGCGTTTATCATGCCGCTACCGTACACACCGTTGGAATACGCTAATATGCGTCTCATTTATGGAGAATGCCGATGCAATGCTAACGCTGCTAGCAGATTGTATCGAGGAAGGTATCCAAATGCTCAAAGTTACCCTGATTATCGAGTATATTTATAAAAATGTGCATCAAGCGTTTGCGGAGGGTCGTTTACCATCTGCCAGGAGAAACGCTGGAAGACCTAGATTGGGTCGCGATGAAGAAGTTCTCAATGATTTACAAAACGATTCGACTACCTCGGCACGTGCCATAGAACTAGCTACGGGAATCTCAAAAAGTTCTGCGCATCGAATTCTTGAACGTTACAGGCTTCACCCATACCACTACAGGCGTGTGCAGACGTTATTACCGCGGGACTATCCACTACGGGTCGCATTTTGCCGTGTGATGCTGCAAAAGCACAGGGACGATCCCCAATTCTTAGATAAAGTTCTATGGTCGGATGAAACAACCTGCAAGAAAAATGGCTATTTAAGTCTTCACAACTTACATAGTTTGAGCAATGAAAATCCGCACCTGATGAGAAAAAACAAATCCCAATATCAATACAAGATTAACTTATGGACGGGCATATTAAATGGAAAAGTAATTGGGCCCTTTGAGTTACAAGGAAACTTGGAAATAGTTATTTGAACTTTTTACAAAACGACTTGCCAGAATTATTAGAAGACGTGCCTTTGCGTGACTTACGAAACATGTGGTTTCAAAATGATGTTTGTTCAGCTAACTATGCCCGTCTTGTGCGAGAATATTTAAACCAAGAGTACCCAGAACGTTGGATCGAGCGACTTGTTCCTATTTTATGGCCACCCCGTTCACCCGACCTAAACCCCCTGGACTTCTTCTACTGGGATTGTCTCAAAGACAGCGTTTACTCAAAACCTATTTCAAATGGTAGAAGATATGCACAACGCATAAAAAGAACTTTTTTAAGGCGATACCGTGCCTGTATTAATGCCGGTGGCCAACAATTCGAACATTTACTGTAATATTAATAATGCAAAAAAAATAAAATAAATGTAAATATTTGTACCCTTTGTTTTGATTCATGCAACATTTTTCAGCAAAAATCCTGTGCCACACAGACGTTTTTTTAAAGTATTATACCATTTTAGAATCTTGGGTAGTTGCGTCAATTTTTAAAAAAACTTGCCATAGTACTTTTTTTACACCACGATGAGTGAAAGTGGACTGAAAGTAAAAATCTTTCAAAATTTTAGGGGAAAAAATAATTTTGATTGATTTTTGTGTAAAAACTACATGTATTCTGGGATTTATAAGGGTTGTGGTAGATAGCAGTACTACTAAGGTTGCCGATACAAAAAAAATTAAAAATGTGCTCATGGTAGTTAAAAATAACCATATCGGTGTATCGATTTTCGACGATTTTGTTTTGTAATTTCAAAAAAGATTTAGATTTTTTTTCTCTTTTTTTCTCGAGTAGTCATGAGCAGGTCCACCCTCTGGTGCCCGTTTATCATTGAATTTTGGGACACGTTGTATATGCCAAATTGCAAGTCAACCGGGCGTATAGTTTAGAGATTTCGTGATTATTGAGTCAGTGGTATTTCGCTTATATATATATACGGAATTTAAGGAACGAACAGATTGGCCAAACACATACGGAATCCCGTTAATTCCGCAAAATTTCGAACGGAAAAATAACGTAGGTGTGTGACGGGACATTAATTTTACATGGACTTGATGCGTTCGAATTTCCGAAACGGAATTCCGTATATATGTGGCCAGCCTTAGGCTTTACCAAGCGCGTACTCATTACGAATTCGAATTTAGCTCTATAAATACCGACATTGTCTTAGCTCGAAAACAAAGTCTGAACAAAACCAAAG